CCTCCGATTATCACTTGTTTCTCTCTTTGCAAAACTTTTTATAGGAAAAAAAATTCAAAACTGAAGCTGATGTCAACCAAGCACTAGTTGAGTTCTTTGCCTCTAAAAATAAATCATTTTTTAAAAATGGCACTTACAAGTTGCCATCACGCTGGCAAGAAGTCATAAGTAACGATGGAAAGTATATTCTACAATCAATATTATTAAATGTATGAAAATTGTGTTATATTTCAATTCAAAAACGGACATAACTCTTTTCGGTAGACCTAATATATATATAATAAACGTTGATTACGAGGAACATTGGAAATTCTGTAAAACGCGAGCGTCCCGAAGCCTGCGCGTAAGAACGCGCGCACGGTATCGTATTACGCGCACGTTACACTTGCACACGTGAATCGTAGATTACGGAAGATCGTGTTCGAAGATGACCTAGATATCCAGCGGACTGCAAGAAAGGGCATCGACGTCAAGCTGGCATGCCCGGGTTCTTTATGCTCTCCCGGAGAGGGAAATAGAGAACGGAGTGGAAAAAAAGGGTTCGGCGGTCACCACTTCCTTTGCACGCCAAAATTCCCGCGGTCCCACGGGGACCGATGAAAGCCGTGAGAAAAAAAGGAGCCGGGTCGAAATAGAAACATGCGACCACGGAAAGTCGGCCGTTTCGTGGAAAACACCGGCCCCTCGTCCGATTCTACCGAATATGTAATCGGTTCGTCCACTTTTTGTATTAGCTTGTTCTTCTTCTGGTGTACTGTTAGACGTAATCGCCGCGATAGACGGGATACGTTTAACCCTTGATTACCGGTTACCGCCCCATTCTCGAGTAATTTAATTACGGTAAGACTGAACTGGCTTTTAGAAGCTGGATCAAAGGATTTTTTTCTTTCCTTCGAGAAGTAGTTCGCAATCCCGTGTTATGTGCGCGACGTAGTTTCAGGATAGTTTATCGATTTAGCGTTAACTCAGTTGACAGGATACTCGGAAGTTTTATGTTCTTACGAATTTTCAGTTTGTGATGTTTTATTTTGTGCTATTTTATTTTATATAAGATCGCGGATTTTTATGCGTTTACGACAAAAACAAGTGGGAGCAATTTCGAACAGCGGAAATATTGTCCAAGTCACTGCTGACTAGAATTAAAAAAATGTAGTGCAAGAAACAATGTACATTCGCTATAATTGCGAGTAGTATTGGCAATCCTTTAATAAATTATGCACAATTAATGTTCTTGGATTCGAATTTTTTAATTATCGGAATTGTAAGATTTCGATTTTAATTTCTTCTCTCATGGGAGCTTATTTTTATATTTTATATTGTACTATATTATAGTTTTTGGACAATATTGTCATACTTCTTGAATGTACAAACAATTGCTTGTTCGCGAGCCACGAGATAAGCAGCTTCTTTATAAACAATATTTTTTATTCTTTCAGCATTACTTTCCTCGCGCAATGCATAAATGGAAATATGCGAAATATAATGTTTCAACTAATTGTATATGTATAATACTACAATAAATTGTAGTATAATAGTAGTATAATAGTATAATACTACAATAAATTGAAGTATTTTGGAAACATCATGAATTTATAACAAAAGCGAGTACATCGAGCGCAAAACAAAAAAATTGTGTGAAGAATTTGAAAGTACTATTGCATTGTTTTTCTCTAAATTAAACTTATTCGGACATGGAACAAATGTCCAATCAAATATGTTATTTTTAAAAGTACATTCTTTCGGACAAATAAATAAAACATTTTATTTTCGAAAATACATGCATGATCTATGATAAAATATTTATTTACTATTTGCCATTTAAAATACTATTTGATTCAACTTTGGAAACCGGCCTTGTTCTCGAATCTGAATGATCTAGCTAACGAGCCATCGTTTTCGCTTATGTTTCAGGAGTAACGTTCAAGGCACACAGATTAATCCTCGCAGCATGCAGCAAGCATTTTCAAGAACTCTTCGAAGGAATGCCTCCTTCTCCCGCGGGACTGATCGTTATTCTCGACGGGACGAGTGCCCACAATATGGCGTCCCTTCTCGAGTTCATGTACCGTGGAGAAGTACACGTGTCCCAGGAATCCCTCAGCTCTTTCCTCAAAGCGGCCGAATGCCTCCAAGTATGCGACATAATTCTTCTCTGAAATAATTGCCCTACATAGCAGTCACGTGTGTTCAGAGACGAATCTGCTATTCCGCGTTCTTCCATGAACGCCTAAATTTATTTTTGGCCGCGATCAATGACGACGCTCGAAATCTCGAAACTCATCAAAAAGTTTCGGCTAATTTTGTGACTCGAAACTCCCGTCAACCCAGGTAAATAATAATTTAGTACAAATAAATTACGAGAACATTGTGATATATGAATTTATGTCTTTATTTATTGCTACGATTTCACCCGTTATATTATTTGTCTATTACAATCGTTTATATTTCTATATACAGAAAACAATAAATTACAGCTACATTCAATTGTCATTTAGTTATATTCAATAAATTATTCGCTTTTCTGGAAAGAATCCGGCCAGATTTCACTTTTTGACAAAATAAGTTACTCTTTGGAAAAAGAAGGAAAAGTACAAACATTCCGGGTTTCGAGAGAGTTTCGAAATCTTACAAAGAGTTTCGAGTTCGAGTTTCGCAAATTCGAACATCAAATTTCGATCATCTCACTAGTTTTAACCTTTTCCACTCGGATGTCCTCTCTCGGAGGATGTCTATGTTTTATTAAAATCATAAAGATACATTTATGCAGAATTCATTCAATTTTGTTTCATTGCACACATATGGGGACGGTTTGAAAACCAATCATTCTAAGTCCACTTTTCTTCGACAACGAGTTACGCAGTCCAAACGTATCCTTATCATAGGATCTTTCGGTCAATAAATCAATGCGGTCGATTTCTTCGTAAATGAACAGTAGATATCAGCGCTTGTATTGGCCACAAAATGACTAAACAAAATTGTTCGGGTAGAATTGTTCTCTTCTAAAAAAAACCATTTTTAACATTTTTCTGTTGTTTCTCTTCCGATTAAATTCACTTGTATGCCATCTTGTAACAAAAACTGTAATTTACATGATTAGCGGCGTTGTTATTTTCTACATCTAATCTTTATTTACTTCGGTGTTAAGACCGATTGGCTTTCGAACCGTCCATATTGCAATAAAAATCGCTCAAAATCTCTATCGAATACACGCTTGTTATTTCATAAAGCAACATAAAACAGCTGCTTTTAACCTAGCAAACGAGCAAAAAACCGTAAAGATTTTCTGCCCGCCCCGCTACAAACACAGAACCAGAGTTCCAAACCGCGATCGATCGATAGTCGGGACCATGAACGGCTCTCGATTCTTTCCCACCGTTTTACATAATACTGCAATCGTTGACACGCGCGTAGCAGGTCATCTGGTCCCCGAAAACCTTCGAGAGTCACCTTCGGGTTCCCAGCCTTTCCCTTGCCCTTGTGCAACGATTTCTAAATCCACGCGCTGCGTTCGGTTCGCAGGTGAAGGGTCTGTCCATCGAGCACGAGAAGCTGGCGGTGGCGCAAAGGCACGCAGCAGAAAATAACGCGTCGACGGACACCGGGGGTGGCGGCGGCGGCGGCGGCGGTGGCGGCAGCGGCAGCGGCGGTGGTGGCGGCAGCGGCAGCGAGAACGGTGGAGGTGTCAGCGGCAGCGTGAACAGTAACGTGGGTGGTAGCGTCGGTGGCAGCGTCGGTGGTAGCGTGGGCGGCGGGATCGGTGGCGGTATCGGCGGCGTCGGCGAGGTGAGCGACTTGAGCGAAGCGGGTGAAGCAACCATGGTGAGGAACACCATGAAGAGGAACCGCACACCGACACCGTCGCCAGCCCCGGCCTATCCTGTGCCCAGCCTCTACTCGACCTCTCACTATTACGAAAACCCGCCGAAAAGGCTGATGAGGTAAGCCCTTTTACCTTACCGTCGCGAAGGACTTCGCCGCGGCGATCTAACGCCGCACGGCCTTCCTACGTTCTAACGCCGATTCGGGACACCCGGCACTGGCCCACATTCCGCGCAGGGCCGTCTTGCCCGATACGCATCTCGGCCACCGTGTCCAGGGCCTGAATATTTCGTACCTGCGCGCACGGTGTGTCGCGTAATGTATAAAGCTCGAGCACCTGAAATATTTAATACGCAAAATCTCGTATCGTAAAGTGTTATCGGAGGGACGTAGATTTTAATGTTTTTGCTAAATTCGCTCAACTTTTGCTAAATTCATTGATTTGTTGTCGAAGCTGATATTAAAAATGTGTCTAAAATTTCGACACCATTTTTCTGATCATTACCAATGGCGGAACGTTTATATTTATTGATTTGATTCTTACAGACTATATTTGGTACTACGATGTCTTCGAAACTAGCAAGCCGTTTTAGAAAAATATTGGAAATTTACACTAATTTGGCCAGCGAAACGTTTACCAACTTAGATTGAACTTTACAGTAAAGATACGATTAAATTAACACTATGCCGTCCGCAGATCTTAGATATGATTCTTTCGTTTGACGCCGGCGTAATAGCTTGGAAATTTTAGACTTTAAAAAAAATTTCGAAGATGGCGGTAATATAAATTCCTAAAATTAAGATATGTCATCCAAGAATCTT